TTATTTTAATAATTTCCTTTTCCTCTTTTTGTTTTTGTTTCTAATCTCTCTCCTTCGTGCGCGCAAACCCAGAACCCCTTGCCTTCTTTCCTTCAATCTTGCACCACGCCCAGACCTAGGGAACTCTTCAACACCAGAAATCGCTGGGAGGCACCATCGATAACTGCTAGTCGGTTAAGCATAGAAAAACCGCTCGCAACCGCTGAGAGAAGCCACCTTTTTTTCTTTAAAGACCCCCAAATCTCCTAGACTTCTCCTTCAATTCGTCAGAGACCAAGCTTGGCCAAATTATTTTGCAAGGCGTGAAATAATTTGGGGAAGAAATCGCAAAGCAGTTTCTTCTTCGTGCGATTTTGACAAGTTGCTGGAAGGAAACGCAAGCGAGGGCAGTGGTAAGCATCGTTCCCTTATTTCCTTCTCTAATAACTTTTTCTTCATCTTGTTGCCACACACATACACATCTATGCGTATGCATACATCTACACACATGTGTAACCATGGAGGTGTTCCCACATATATATTCTGAGAATTCCTCATGATCAGAGCGCTCTTTTTCCTTTTGCATGCTTATCGTTCTTCTTCTCTTTTTATACCCAAGGCTTGAATTTTGAATTTGGACCGCCCATTTAGGGATTTCAAGCGCCTGCCAAGTGACAATTTGCCTTAGTTGAACACGAGACTCCTATATGGTGGTAGAAGAAACATGGGCATGCACAATTTTGAATACCATTGCTTGTATATAGGAATAACCAATCCTCAACCTCCTCAAGTGATTTGTCCCCGTGGTTTGGGCTCTCCTTTCTTTCCTTTTTTTTTTCCGTAGGTATTTGTGACTTTACTGATTTTGCCATGGCAACCAATCTTCCCCTGATTATGCTGGACCACCTTTATTCCATGGATGATGGTCTCAAAGTGGGAAGGCTGCTTTTGTCACTTGAAGATGCCCGCGAGAATCCTGTCGTTGGTAACGAGCCATCGTCATAAACTGCTCCTACAATTGATCCTGCCTCCATATCCATGTGCTGCATTGAGAAGGGCCTGTTTCTAGCCGTTCCCTTATTCTTCCAATATCCTTGTAGCATTAGCAAGGGCTGGTCAGAATGGGTTGACTGTGAGCTGCTGGATCCATCCACATGCAATATTTTGCGTAGAGTGCAGGTTCTGGATGCCATCTTCCTCTCCAAATTGTGGGATATCCATATTGAAGCGAAGATGCTTCGTCATGAGGTTCGGAGGTGGAGTGCTGCTACCCATACTTTTGTGTGTTCATGGGGAGAGTTTACCCCTACCCTTGAAGACGTGGCGAATATCTCCTGCCTTCCAATTTGCGGCGACCGGAGTCCTTTTGACATTGCCCTCACCCCGGAAGAGGTAGACAAGCTTGCAATTTTGCGGAGAAGTGCTCCTACTTCTCCCAGTACCTCGCTTCGGTTCAGTAACTGGATACAGTAATTTGGTGATGCAAACAGATAAGGACCTTGCCGATTGGCTGCATTTATAGCTTTCCGGCTTGGGCGGTTCATGCTTTGTGATTTTTCGCAGGATTGCTTGCATGAGCGTGTGTTCCCCTTGGCTTTGGCTATAGCTCGAGGAGATACAATCCCTCTAGCCCCAATGTTCTTGGGGCATCTATACCGGCTACTTAAAGAGACTCAACTTTTAGAGAAAAGTGCATCCAGAACTATGGGCGTGGAGACCCTCCTGAATTCTGGATTCTTGTAGATGTTTTTATGGGAGCATCTTAAAGGATTGGATGTACATTCACTTCCTCACTTGCATGCTATGAAGCTGGCCGATTGGGGTAGGGGTTCTTATATGCCAGAAAGTCTTCCCTTAGTCTGCAGATGGTTTAAGCGGATGCAGAGGAAAGGCCAGGACTTCCTGAAGCTGTTGGATAACGTTGAGAACTTTGTCTTTCATCCTTATGACACCTCGGCAGAGACCTTCACCTTTGTGCCCTTTTATGCTGATGTTAGTGTGAGAATCCTTATTCTTAAAAGTGTTAATATTTTATTTTTTTAGTAAGTATTAAATTATAATTATAATTATTTATGGAAGTCTATGTTTTATTTGCTTCACTTAATGCAAATTCAAATGATGTTCTTAAACAATTGCTTTTAAATAGCATCTCGTTTATTTGCTTCACATAATTTACTTATCCTATATAGTTATTTTGAACTCTTTCTTCTATCTAAATTTAAAAATAAATAAATAAATAAAATAAAATAATTCATGCATAAGAGTTATTTTACACTCCACGTAATTAGCATTTGTACAAATTTTCACTATTAGTTCATGATCTTGTTAGAGTTGGGCAATAGAAAACGTAACCTTTTGCATGCAACACCTCTTAACTTTAATTGTTATAGTTGGCAAGTTTACATTGCATTGCATATTAGCTAAGCAAATGTGAAACTCATTTACACTTGCTTGCTGCACACTAAGGCTCACATCTGTCTTTGTGACTAAGCAACTTAACCATGAGCTGTTATGATTTTAGAAATAGTTATCCACAGCTGAAGCAAATCAACATGCAGCCAATGAAAG